CCCAACCTGCCTGCACATACAAAGACATGTGAACAAGCCAAAACTCCCCAACCTAATACTATCACGGAGCATTGGCCTGACTAATTCAAACAACACCAAAAAACTACTTCGGCTTATTTTATAAAATCACTGAATATGATGATGATGATGTGTTCCAAACAATGCTTGCACCAGAAGAGAGTTCTACACACAATGATCAATGAACCCGGATTCTCCTATAAACAAAGTTTGAACTGCTTTAAGCTAAGTTTCACGTGAGAAAACTGCGAGGCGCAAGTAAATAGTGTGGCCTCATAAAGAGGACATAATCAATTTCAAATCTGTTTTTGCAAGGGATAGAAATGAGAATATGCGAAAGAGTGAAACAAATAGTTTCTTACCTTGCCCCCAAAGCGGTTAAGCATAAAAGTTGGCTTAAACCATTTTAGTAATTGACAAATCTAACAACATAGCTAGGCCAACCTGTATTTAAAGTTTCCGTGAACCAAAAATGCCCTTAAGCCAATGCCATCCGAGTAATTTGGTAGATAAATTGATATAAAATTATATGCCATCGGGTTGATAGAGTATCATATCTACGTTCAGGGTTGTGAGTTCAATGTTGATATTGATGTGGCCATCAATCATGATTTGTGCGGTCAATCAAACAGCCAAGCATTAAGTGAAGGCATCAACTTACCATTACAAATGAACACTTTCACTATCATTCATGTGTGACAATCTCTTTTATTCTCCAGCATCTGACAAAATTTATTTGTCATTGCCAGTGTATTTACTTAAAAACAGTCATGCACTATAGCCTAATTACTATGAATAACAAATATTATATCTTTTCTCTCAATGTAAATTTGATTCTCTTTTTTTTTGAATCTTTGAAAAAGACTTACAAAATGAGAATCAGAAATACATTATCTTAATGATAATACATTTGAAGAGTTTTGACGTTGATATGACTAAATGTTCATGTCAACCTTGACAAAAGCCTATAAATATGGGTATAGATATAGCATTTGAAAATTACTTAACGACTTCTTCCTTTGCAACTTCTCTTCTTATAAGTTAACATGACTGACACCTCCTTACTAAAAGAAATGAAATTAGAAGATAATGGGTCAAGAAAAGTGATGGAGAATGTTGAAGCAGCGGCTCATCCAATCGACTCCTGTAGGTGATCTTGTTAATATTTTTGCAAGCGGGCGAATAAAACAAATAAAAAATTCTCAAATTATGTTAATAGTGCCAACAATTTCTCAAAGTGTTATAATAAACAAACCAATAATTTTTAATGATGAAACTTTAGCAAGAAATAATTTAGCAACTTTTTAAAAAGAATAATCCAATAAGTGAGCTAATGATTCATTTCAGTCCTTTATAAGAAACTTTGTTCTCTTAAAATTCGTTCTTATAGATATTATTCTTTTTTTTTCATATTTTAATATTTTACAATGATAAATATTGAGTCAAGTATATCCCCAATGCTTTTAAGCTGAAGATTTACGAATGATTGAACATATGAATGTGAATATCAAAATAATTTTTAAATAATACTTCCCTCAAGTAGTACTCAGCCATTTCTCTTTTATTTATAACTTAAACAAATCATGAACTTGGATAGAACTCACCTTTATCAGAAATTCTTTCATCTTTGTGGGTATATCCATCTAGACTTGTCAACCAATCTCTACTAAATTGTCGTCTGTCCTGCCTCTTGGCATTAAAATCATGTATTCATGCCCTATAGATATTCTCCTCTATGTGCATTCATATACTTGGCACAGGTCGTAACACTGTTGTTGCTACCAATGTCTCATTCACTAATGTCGCTATCCTCCTGCCCTCACAACCACCTCCAATCCAACCCCTACCTGTTGTCCAGCCACCATCCACCAACCTCATCCTCGCACTATGGTGTATTTTTATGTTTGTTGTCATCTATTTCCTATTTTAGAGAGTCGTCATTGTAACCTATTCGAATTGCAGTAATAATATTATTGTTTCGATTGTGGCTTGGGTTAACTCCGATATCAATAGCTCTAGTGGCAGATAATATTGGAGAGTTGTCTTTAGATGGTCCAGTCACATTAAACATCGACGCTCTAATGAGCCAGTTAGGAGAGAGGCTTTATATTTGAATTGTATTAAGAAAGGTAGGGACAAGTCAAAAATAGACTCGGGCATGTAAAAAATGATTTTAACTTATTAGAATTAATGAAAATATGGAACTTAATAGGACACAACGGAGAAAAAAGATTCATATAGCTGACCCTACTTAATCGGATAAAAGATTGTTGTTTTTTTTTTTTTATTATTGTTATTTTGCAGCATTCTCAAACTATATAATTAAGTTTTTAGTATATTAATCGGACCACATGCAGACTAATTTACTGCGTATGTCTTTTGAGATACGATACTTCTAAATTCAATTTTTTATACTTTTGCATATGCAGCATTCTCAAATACTTCAATTTAAGAATTTAGGATTATTGCTATAGTAAATGTGAGTATTTCTTAATGTTCATGTTTTTCGAAGCGAGACAATTTAAGCTTAATTTATGTTAAGTCCTATACATTTATCTTAGATGCTAAAATATTCTTTGAAGCATATAAGAATTTTTGTTCATGTGCAAGATTTATTGGGCGAGATAATTTGAGTTAAATTTATTTTAAATCCCCACAACATTTTTGGACATTAGTAATTGGAACACATGCAATTGCCCGATTTTAATGATGTGCATGTATCGAGATGCACTTACACAATACACTTGCACACATTTCAATGCATTTGCATGGTACCCTTCCACAATTAATCATATTATTTCAGGAGTAATCAGACGATGCATGCACATATTAATAAAGTATTCAAATTTTATCATTCAAATTACTTTTATGAATTTCACGGAGTCGTGCACGGATAGAAAGTTATTTTGTGAAATTCATGTAAAACTCAAAATTACTCAAAATTATGATAATTCACATGAATAAGTGACATTTTGTAACATGCATAGTTTCATTTTAGATATCTTAAAAGTCTTATGTCCACTTGTTTATGATTTTTGTGGATCTAGTGACCAAAAAACGAGAGTTGCAATCATTCAGGTCTTACAAATGTTCTTATTTGGTATTTCTTTTATATTTATAATTTAATGTGGTAGTACAAGCAAGCTTTACTTCTATAAATTGAGGATATCGGCCGACTGTTGTAGAGGAATGAGGCTCTCAAGTTGTAGAAATGAAGGGGATTGTGAGAGACAAGAGCGAAGACAAAGAGGGTAGTAATTCATTTTTTTCCAGGCAGCACAAGATGGGCAAGAAAAATGGGGGGAGTAGGGTGCCGTGAGATTTTGAAGGATATTTCCATTATGATTTTTATATTAAAAAAAAACATTGTGTGTGTGCGCGCATGCATACGTGCATGCATTTGCGTGTGCATGCTTCTGATTTTAGTTAAAATTAAATTCTAAATTTCTTTAATTAAAATTTTTTTAGTAAAATATATGTATTTAACTACCTAATAACTAATAAAACAACTTACCAAAATTTTTATTTTATTTAATTAATTAGCAAACTTTTTTTTTTTTTATAAAAGTTTATTTTAAATCAATTTATGTATTATATATATATATATATATATATATATTCTCTTTTTTATAATTAATAAAGAATAGTTATTTAAAATTTTCTTCGCAAAAACTCGTCATTCGTGCGCCTCAAAATCTGTCATCAACTATGCATGCAATTAAGTTTGTGCTTTGAATTTGAAGGATATTCCCGGGCAATATGGGTTTTTTTCTAAGCAATTTTAACGTAAAAAGCATATCAGCGTCCTTTATTTCACAAGCAAATAAGAATTGGATGGAATTTATTGCAATCGAGACGACTTCACATGATTTGCACTTCTTGTTTATCACTCACCGATTTTGGTCCCATCCGTTCAATTCATCTTGTGAAACAAAAATAAAACCTGTTGTGCTTGCTGTGTTCAGTCAAGTTAGATTTTGGAACATACATGGAGGTCAACAAAACTTTTAATTAAACTATAAAATTAAGATTTTTGTAATGTATCAAAAATAAAAATGGTTTCTTAAATGCTTCCCGTTAACCTTGTCAGATTTAAGAGTCCATTTTGTCATTTGCCCTTTGTTTTCACTTGCTTCAAAAAAGAATGGATTCAATAGTTTGAGCTTTGACATTGCTCCTCTTATGGCTCAAGTTTAATAAAGCAGGTGTGCATTTATGATAAGCTCAAAAAGATGACTTAAAACATATTTCTTCAGCTATGTGGTTGAATCAAAAAAATTTGAGCTTAAATGCTGAAATGGGTAGGCCTTTCCCACCACAAGAGGATTTATGACAACTTTAAAAATATTGGAAAATGATGAAAAAAATTATTTGACAAGAGTTCAATGAGCAATTTGAGATAATACATTTTGATTCAAGAATGAAGATGAATAAAGATGACAATAGACATCAAAATTAATAGATCAGCAACAGAAGAACTATGTCAGCCACTACATAAAAGATTCCCTAACTTCAAAATTCAGTGCTGATTCAGAAATTAAGATGAATGAGAGATTATGAATCATCATGATTAAATAACTTAAGTTATATTAATATAAAACTACCAGTACATATATACTTTTATAGACTAACACAGCTATTGAACAGGCCATGAGAGAAGCAACGGAATTACGATAGTTACCTCATAAAAAATTCTAATTTTGAAGAATTTGCATTTACCTAGATTAAGAAAAGAAACAAGACGCCGATATAGTAAGCACAGATCATTCAGAGGGGAATGTAATAACTAAAGCATGAAAACTAACAATTTTGTGATGCAGGATAGAGTAGACATTCAAATACTCAGGATAAGGTAAATGATGATGATGATATTATGGTGAGCGGGATAAAGCAGAACAATCTTTGTCTAAAGAGAATTCCTTGTTGAAGCAACACAATTGACAGCAGATGAATAAACCACAAGTGATAACTAAATAACATACCTTGGGCAACATCCCATATGGTGAACGAGGAACTCTCATAAGATGCAGATGCCAAGTATGTGAACAAATATCAAGGAAAAAAAACCTCAAAAACAGTGGTCAGAAAGTGAAATAACATAAAAGTATAATCATAAAAGAAGGATATCACAAAGCATCTACATATAGTACAAAGCAATCTCAGAGGGAAAAATAACATAGATGCAAAAAATAGATTATCTGGAGATTGCAGAAATTATCACAAGCCTCATAATGAATTAAGTGGATATCTTCCATCGGGGCTGCAAGAAATCGCACTAATTTGTTCACCAGTAGGGCTCCGAAGAAAATCGACCAAAGTCCACCGATTACCAGAGCCTCGTGAAATAGTACCAAGTGATGAGGTTACTCCAGACCTCGTAGAAGGAACATTTCCAGGGTATGATTCAGACCAGAGGCATACTCCACCACTAAAAAGTTAAAATAAAGCATTTAAGAAATTAACTGCTGGAAGTTCAAAAATATTTTATTGGACAAATATCTTTAAGCACCGCTATAATTATAAAAGTAGAATATGAACATGACTTAGATTGATGCGTACTTGCATGCAACAAAGAGTGTCTTCCCACTATTAGGCCTCCATTCAAGTGATTTAATCTCTCTTTGGGCTTCACTGGTCAAGATGCAAGGATCCTTCCCCACTAATCAGAAGATGGAAGGGCTAATTAAGGAAATTAACAGTCCAAAGAACTACCTTATGAAGAGAATGCAGCAATTTTCTTAAATACATATTGATTTAAGCCATCTTGAGGTTGGTTCACAGAAATCTACATAGCAGAAAAGCTAATGCTCATCACAAACCTGAATCTTCGTAATCACGAATCAAAACTTGATTGGATCCAGATATGCATGCTACCATGTGCTTATGTGGATGCCAACTAACCGCTTGGAAAATAACGTCTGGAGATAAATTCAACTGTAAAATAACTTGGTCAAAAAAAAAGGAAAATTATATTCCATGAAAAAAGATTCATTTACAATCCTCAATGCATTTCAAAAAAAATATAAATTTTATATCATGTTAGACAGATTTAAAAACATTGAGTTCAACAAGTCTATCACATTTTCCAAACAGTGAATAAGAAAATAGTGGAAAGCTATTCAAGTCCTTCTAAGGGTTTAAATGTGCTCTTAAAATCTTACGAAAAAAAACTAAAATATCAAAATTCAAGCTTATTTGTCTAGTTAGACGGTCATAACCAAAATATTTTCCTGCAGTATATGCAAAACTTGGGTGTATGAATTGATGATTCTTATACAAAGTTTAGCCAATGTGGCACAAAAGGTGCTATGTAGCAAAGTTTAAACTGGTAACAGAGGGGAACAAACCTGCTCCCAAATCTTAATTGATGGATGTCACACAAGCCAAGGTAGAAAGACAACTAACTTATAGCGCAGTTATAGATTCTCAACTAATTGCATTATTTTTACTTACAGACACCTGTCTTCATTGTCGCAGCCTTGGGCAGACATCCTCTTGCTGCCCTACAGTCACATGCATCCCCCGTCGCAGCCACCGTCATTCCTCGACGCAGCCACCGTCATTCCCCCTCGCTGCCGACGACCTGAATAGCCGTTCCCAGCTTTTTTCTAGCTCTTCCAGCCATCCAGGCCTCTTTTCCCAAATGTTTTCCCGTTTTCCCCCCCCACACCGCCCACCCCCTTCACAATCATACCGCTGTCCCTGCTTGTCTAAGCCTCCCCAGCCGCAGTTCCTTCCCTTCCAACGCACTGCCACCTACAGAAACTGTGTCCTACCCCCTTCTCTCTCTCGCCGCAATTATCCAGGACAATTGTTCCACATTGTTTACCACCACACCCCACCCCACCCCACCCCACCCACAAGTCAACATCATCACCTCAAGATCCACTCTAATTTGAGTTGGGTTGTCCAAAACCCTAACCACGCCCCAAATGAGACAATTGCCGGAATCTGATCAGAAATCTACCATGGACGATATACAACGACTGCTCAGCCAAGTGCTACATCGGCTCAATGTCATTAAGGAAAGAACCCAGGGCAGGATCACCATCAACTATAATAATGAAATCCCTGAAGGAGAGCAAGAAGAACACTTGAATCCCTTCCATAAGCATGATTTCAATGGAGAAGAAGACAGTCCACAACATTTTGGGGTACAATATCAACGGAGGCCTAGAGTTGAAGTGTTTATTGAAAGATACAGAAAGATGAGGTGTCCGTTGAAAGATACAGAGATGAGAGGTCAGAAGATACAGAGATGTGGCGTTTGTTAGAGGATATAGAGATGAGATGTCTGTTAAAGGATACAAAGATGAAGTGCCTGTTAGAAGAGTTAGAAGATACAGAGATGATGTGTCTATTGGAGGATACAGAGATCTGGGAATGATGGTGGACCTATCGAACTTCGAGGGGTGAATGGATCCAGATGATTTTCTCTAGTGGAAGTAGATTGTTAACCGATGATAAAATAATGAAGTTCGCCGCCATCAAGCTAAAGAAGAATATTTCATTATGTTGGGAGAACCTAAAGAGAGAGAGACAGAAAAAAAAAAAGATGCGATAGAATCACTTTTTAGGACAAAATGAAGAGAGCAATGCAATGATAATACCTACATACCTACACTCACACTATTGCCAAGATGATTCCTTAAAGCTCCACTACCTGTAGTATGAGCTATCGGTGGAGTGCACAGCGGAATTTATGTAGCTCAAACTGAAATGTGATATGACATAGCCAGAGGAGCACACCATTGCAAGATATTTTGAAGGGCATGACCCCACCATAAGTAATGTGGTTCAGCTACAATTTTATTGGACATTGAGGGACGTGTAGACTTTAGCATTGAAAGTGGAGAGATAACGGAAGTAGAGCAGGAACCCACCATCATTCAGACTATCACCCGTAAATGGAGACATTAGAAGGAGCATGCCTCATGGAGTTGAGAAAATGTCTGAGAAGAGTAGCATGTCCACTACAGCCCCAACCAAAAAATACTTCAGAAGTCATGGATTTGGGCGCATCGCATCAAATTGCCCGATGAGCCGAGTTGTGTCATTTACCGAGCAGAGTGTGAAAATTATGATGCACCAAAACTTACTGCGAAGTAAATTGGTCACACAACGCAAGTATGTGTCAAATAATAATACGTTAAAAGGGTACCGCGTATCAATCCCACAAGAAAAAGGCTAAGAACTATTCTGATGGACTAATCTATAGTTTACTAAACTTCTAAAACCAGTTTAGTGCGATCACAAACATGAGATGGTTTCTTAAAATCCTACTTACAAAAATAAAAGATAGTGTGCTCGGTAAATCTTACTGTTCTTCAAGTTATGTGTGGCTCACGCCCCCGTGATTTCGGTAATGTGGTGATCCGTGATTTTCCTAGACTGTCTCCAACATGATTGTTGTCAACATGGATAAAAAGTCCTCCTTATGTCTATTTCTAGGTCATAAGAATGCTGGAATTCATGAAGTTGAGGCTTCCTAATTCCCTACGGCATCCTACGGATTTGTTCTAATCTCCTTTCTAGGTTGCAAAACTCAAATAAAACATATCTACTGTTACCCAAACTTTGTGGCTAACCATTTTGTTCCTCTGCGCAATGGGTAGGATTCACAGATCACTAAATATATTAACATCCTAATTGATCAAATCAAGAGTAAATAAAATTCAATGGTTAACACAACAACGAAAAAAACCCTGATGTCTCAAGAAAATGATACAAGGAAATAAATCATCCAAGAAAACCACATACCATAAATCATAAAGGCGCGAAAAAAAATTTAGCTACACATGATTGAAAGAACACCAGAAAAGCATCCAAACAAAACTATTGTTGCAAGTAAAATTGAAAAGTAAACACTTACAAAAACGATTTGTTCCTTCTTCCACAATAGTAAACTGCTCTCTTATACAATAATCTCTCAAAACATATAAGAACAATACAAAAAAAAGATAGAAGAAACCCTTAGTACCTCAATTCCAAGAAAGGAAGAGGAAACCTAAGAAAAACTCTCAAAAAATTCTTCTCCAACTGTCTCCAACTCTCCTCTCTACCAAAGAATGCTTCCATTCATGCCCTAACTTCCCTTTTAAAGATTCAGCAAAAATTGGCACAAAAAACCCTTCTAAATGAGATTTGGCGGTCCGATGACATGATCACGCTTGAAACCAACATGATCACACCTGAAACTTGCGTGGTCATGCCAGTTCTTGTGTGGTCAAGCCATGCAGTATTTTTTCACTCACTCTTACTCTATTTTGCATGTTGATACCTATAACCTGCAAAATGACAGAATCTTCCACAAGCATAAAATCATGATAAAAGAGATGACATAGCAAGTAAAAAGAATGATAACATGCAGGTAAAATCACGTAAAACTGACTCGTGTCAATACCCTAAAACTTATCTCATTACTTGTCTTCAAGTAATCTCATAACTCAGTTAGAACCCCATGAGAGTATAATGTACTCCTGTATGTTTCTAAGTTTTTTTAACTTGTTTATTGAAGTCAAATAAAAGTGTTTAAGTGTCATTATAGGGTCAATTCTTCTTAACATTTAAAAACTTAATCTTTTCCTTAACTCCCTTCATTCCGTCCTTAGGAAATCCCAAAGATTCTTAAATCGGTGATAATTAAAATATCTTAACTAACATCTAATGTTTCAAAGTAATTTCAGTGGACCCAACCAATCTAATCCTAATTAAACAATAAATAAGTTTCATTAAAGCTCATGCAAAAGTTTTACAACTCAAGTTCTAATATGACCTTCCAAGTTTTCATTTCAATTTTTGTACCAACCTCAAGCTTCTTCTCAAGTTTTTTTACATTTTCACTTTTATATTTTTATTTTTTCTCTTTTTTTTTCTTTTTCTACTGAGAATTACTATATCTACTTAGATAACTTTTCCTTTTCTCTTTTTAAATAAGATGGAGGTTAGTTTCTCTTAAGTTATAAATCTAAAAAATGATTGTTTAATGTCACTTCTTCATGTTATCTTTTCAGTTAAAAAATTAATACAACATTAAATTGGCTAAAAGAACTGAAAAGACTAAAAACATCTTTGGTTTGTTATTCAATATTTTAATTACACATTTTTCATTATCTTGAGATTTCTTTAAGTACAGTTAGTAGTTGTTTAAGTTCTGAAATCTCATCATTGAAACATTAAGGTTAATCTTTCCTAAATAACATTTATCATCTTTTAAAAAAAACTTTTGATAAGCAAGTTGAATTAATCATAATTCCTAGCAGGAGATATCACATTAACATTTTTAATCTTTTAATGAGTTATGTGAACTACTCTCAGACACACAAGAAGGTAAATATTTCCCCCCAAAACTTGTTTTTTTTCCATAACTTATGTAATATAAAGATAAAATTAAACATGGGTACAGCAAGTAAATGCAAAAAAGAGTAAATACATGAGCATTCACAATAGTTTCAGAATACAAGTATGTAAAATATGTAACAATGCATGAATCAGTAGAAGTATAAATCCAAATTAAAATTTAAAACAAATTTCAAAGCAAATTTTAAAAATAAATTTCAAAATAAATGCATAAAGTAAAAACATGCTTAAAACATCATATAACGATTGGACTGTCTCCCAAGATAGCACTTGGTTTAACGTCCTCAGCCTAACGAAAAAGGCTTCCTCTAGAATTAAAATTTAAATTTAATAATCCTCGATCAATCGTTCAATCTTTTGTCGGTACTGGAATTCCTACTAAATCCTCAAACTTTAGTCTTTTTTGTAATTTTTCTCTCTCAGTTCGACAGCAATCTTCTATAGGGTATTTAGGGGATTTTTTCAGATGATCGCTTCTAAGGGTATTTTCTAAATCCAAATTATTCCCAATTAATTTCCCTATTTGCAATTCGGTGTTTTCCTCACAAGTTGCAAGAAGCGGATCCCTATAAAAT